TCGCATGCTTGCAAATAAAAAAAAACCAAGTCATCCTTAAAAACGACGGAGATTTGACTGAGTTTATCTTTGAAATCTGTTGAAATATTAAACATCTTTTTAGTTTCATATATACGAGAGAGATATAAATATAAACGTGTTCATTATGTTATGGTAGCTCATTACGGTGTCATGCATCAAAAAATACTGTTTACATTATCCAACTTGTGTAACGGAAGTTTTATAAGTTGATAAATTATTTTTGTCGTATGGAAAATCTCTGACAAAACATGTCAGAATAATATTTAAAATAAAGACAAAATTGAATAAACAATAATATTTCAAACTCAAAAAAATTTCCTTTTCTTTCTAGTTCAGAAATGTATTTTGTAACTTTTAGTATCAGAAAAACATTTCAATTCTTTACTGGCCACAAAATTTCGAAACCAGCCGCAGAATGTAGGTTTGGCCGATATGCATCTTGAATACTAGAAATACGTGAAATATACGGGAATCGAGCGGAGTGGCCGTGCCGCTGATGTAAGTAAAAAACGCGGTGAAATGTTCGGGCAACCAACGAAGTGTAACCGGAGCTTGGCAGTATGCGTTTGAAAAGCTGTTCTGTTTGTTGCATCGCGAAAAGCGTTCCTTTCCTCCTTGCATTCAAAGTTTCGACGGGCACTCCGCATGTTTCGGAAACCATCTGTCTTCGATCTAAAAACGTTAATCCTCGATTTTTATCTACGTGATAAATAAAGATGGCTGCGACATGGCCAATGTATGTCAACATTACCAAATTATTACACACCCAAAAAAAAATATTTTGCCGATAAGCGGCGAATTTCTCTTAGCATTTCTTCTAAGCAAAAATCTTAAATGAATCAGGCGCTATTTATACTATTCGTATTCATCTATAAAAATAAGGACACATGAGTTACGATTAAAAATAAATTCCTCTATAGAAAATTCTATTATAATAACTCGAATAGCCTTTTGAAATAAGAGGATATACAAAATACTTCTTACGAGAAGTCTTGTATTATCCTCTTATTTCAAAAGGCTATTCAAGTATAGAGTATAACGGCACGCTCATTTGTTTTACAAGAAATTTACCTATGTGCGGTAATTATTTAGAATAGAGGAGGCAGCACCGATGACCTTGACCTTGACATATGTTATCAAGGTCATGATTCTGAGTAACTTTGCCTTAACAACTAGCCGTCGCTCGCCCTTCGTTAAAAAGTTATTAACAATTATAGTTTTAAAATAGTAAATGTCTCAATCAGGGGACCTCCCTCCAATGACTTTGACTTTGACATATGTTGTCAAGGTCATGACTCTGAGTAACCCTCAACAGGTTTTAGCTGTCGCTCGACCTTCGTTAAAAAGTTATTAACAATCATAGTTTTAACGTATGCTATCATGTATGATATGAAGTACTATTCTACACCTTTTTCCCTGTTCAGAAACGTTGAACTTTTCACGCAAAGTAACTTTCACCCCCTCCCCTATCAAGTAAAATATCAAGTAATAGACTCATAATCGTTATATAATAACGAATGGGAACACACACACACACACACACACG